CCGTCCAAGCCATGAGCTGCCAGCTTCCCAAGGAGAATATCTTTTCTTATATCTTGAGCAGACAAGCTGCTGTTTCCCCTTTGTTTATTTAAATGGTGTTGGCCTTTAAAAATGTCCTCTGTGGAAGTACAGGGTGCCAGCAGTGGTAACTGAAGTCCAAAGGCATCTTAGCATATGCCATCAGCTTGGAAATCACAAAGGCTAGTTAAAATTTCAGTTGCTTTTCTGGATCTCTCCTTTATTTGCATAGATAATGTAAGTAATTTTTTCTAAAATTGTAGCAAGGGATTTGTGCTTGCTATTTTGTGCGTGTTTAAGGAAGTTTAGGCATATTCATTGTAATTCTCTAATTTTCTTACTATAAAGAACCCTCCCCACCAACCCTGGAAATGTCAGATCTGTAGCTGGAGTAAAACTGGCATAATGCCACCACAGAGAACAAATGGTGGTGGTGCATGCCGGTTGTGGATTTCATCCCTGGTTTGAGATCTCTTGCTTGCTGCAGCTACACCAGATGCAGATTTACAACATGAAGGGAGGGAGGGAGAAGAGAAAGAAGGAAGGAAGCCTAAATGAAATTTCACTTCTAGCCCCTCCGTGCAGTTAACAAAGTGGCAGACCCACTGCATAACCACTTTGCACCCAGATTATACCAATGATGGGAGAAATGCAAAACTTGAACCAAACTTTCAGAGATGTCAATTTAATTGCCTCATAATTACGGACTGTTGCATGAGATGAACTTGATTCTTGATGAGGAACCATCAAAATGCCAGCAAACAGCATAAAAGTTTTATGGTCTGAATTACCCACTGGGACTGCCTACAGCACTCCCTTGACTGTAGGCAAGCCGGGTGACTGCTTTAAACCAGATGTCTAACTTTTGTATGGTTAAAGCCAGGTGAGATGGATCCTGTCTCTCGTCTGTTAGATTTGCCTGGATCCAAAACTCTTTAAGTTCCTACATCCCATGGGAACTTGTGAGCCTGAATGAACTCATGGCCATGTCCCAAGGAACTCACTCTCCTAGAGGTGGGATGCACAGAAAACCAGCTGGATTAGGAGGCCTGAAGATACCAGCACAGAGACATTGTGCTCAGCCAATACCTCCAAAGCCTCTAGGACTGCTTGGTTGCCAATGTCCTTTTTCTAGCACAATTTTTCTTTTGCTTAAGAAAGATCAAAACACTTTGTTTTTTCAATGTTCCAAACACTTTTTCTAATGCCTGTTTTTCAGAAAACTTTGAAATGTTTCATTTTCTTTCCAAGTCAGAACAGAAGTGTACTTCAATGACTGGAAAACCTGCTAGGAAGCAGGATGATCATCTTCCATGTGGCTTTCTGAATGCTAACAAAAGCCAGCAGGAGAATTCATGTTAGGCTTCAGATATCTCCTGGCTACTCAGAAATCACTGCTAGTGTTGCAGGCTTGCTTGCTCAGATGTTGAGTGAAACATTTTCTGTGCATCATATCACATGCTTTGTGAGTGTTGTAGTAATGCAAAGAGTAATTTAAAAGTCTAAACATTTCACCCAAGGAATAATTGTCAATGGACATTTCCACAACCTATTACAGATGTTTTTCATGAAGGAAGCTACCCATTCAAGGTAAATCTGCAATAATGCCAAAGTGCATAGGCGCCATGATTGAAAGTATGTCATAATGAGAGCGCAAAATCTGCCACCATGAAAGAGATCAAGTAATCATCTAAACCAGTGTCTTATTTTCAATAATGACCAGTTATGGGTGCTCTGGAAAGCATGTAAAAACCATGAGCTTTCCTCTCCTGTATTTTGACAATAAGAGTTTAACAGTCTCCAAAAGGCACCAGGCACACCAGAAGAGGAGCAGAGCTTACACTGAAGAAAAGCTGGGATATTTTTCCTGTGCTGGATATCATGGTAGGCACAGAATTTGGCTGTTGTACTGGTATTTGCACACCTATGTCACAGAACTCACTCATTCTCAAGACTTATTTATATGCAAAAGAGCTTGTGCTCTTTTGTGGTGGGGCCATCACAAACCACTGCCTGGATTCAGCTTTCCAGGGCCTGAGAGCATTTGAATTCCAGGCAGTCTTTGTTTGACGTTCTCTCTGCTCCCACCAACACAAAACAAATCTAGCTAATGCAAATATGATAATCTTTCCAGCAGCAGGTTTAAAGGGTGCACATATAATTAAGCCACTTTTCTATTTGGATTTGCAGTAGCTCCATCAACTTGTTGTTTATACATTTATCGTTTTGTAAACATGTATTTCAAAATGTGTGGTATAAGATTTTTGAGTCAAGCACTTTTCCTTGGGTCTCCATAAGTTCATGTGGAATGAGATCTGTATTTCTTTCTCTCCCTTTTTTTCCCCCTCATATTCTAACACAAAGAAAGGAAAAGATAGGTATCTGATCCAGTAGCTGCTAACATTGTTCCCAGCTACAGATTGCAAAGAGATGCTAAACTGTGTGCGAATGGGGAGGTCTTCTGTGGCAGACAGGTTAGCAGAACTCAGTTCATTAGGAATGACCCCAAGCCTGCACTGCTGCGGTGCCTTATCTCCCTGCTATCCAGTGTTTCTCAGCCATGAGACATCTTTCCTGGTTGTTTTGTCAGATAGCCCTTTCTTGCTCCAGGGCTAGTGCAGACCTTTTCATGTTTGGCAATGAAGCTGCCCCTTTCCTCTCTTACTGCTCTGCTCTGGAGTCCCAGATCCTGCTCTGCCCAGTGCTGCCTGCACCACAGCTGGTTCAGGCATAGCTCACTTCTCCCATGTCTCACCCCAAACCTTTGTCAAGCTGCTCCCCTCCGGGCCAGCTTGACGCTTCAAGGTTCACACAAGGGCATTGGTATACCATGACCTTCTGAACACAGGCCCATCCCCAGTGCCTCTCATAGGAGCAACCAGCATCACCCCAGGGATCCTTTTATCCCAACCTGTCCCTTAGAAATGGTCCTCTGAATACGTACCTTTGAATCCTCTGTGCCCCTAACAGACTCAGTGGTATGTTGCAAAGCTCTCCAAATTCTCACTTTTTTCCTCTCATGGTTTGGCCCCACTTTCCCTGCTGCCCTACTTCCCCACTGTTAGGCCACAAGCCACCCCATGACTACTGGCCCTACTGGTTCCTTGACCTGTTCCTGCCCAAATGATTTCCTTGTGCTTCAAGCCCCAGGAAAGCCAGTCCTATTTCCATCTCATAGACTCATAGACTCATAGACTCATAGAATAGCTGAGCTTGGCAGGGACCTGTGGAGATCATCTAGGAAAACCCTCCTGTACAAGCAGGTTGCTCAGGACTGTGTTCAGTCAGCTTTTGAAAATCTCCACAGATGGAGACTCCTCCTTGAATAAGAGTCCCAATAACATGGAGGAAATCCAGTTTCTACCACCCAAACAACTAAAGATACATCAGCAGAGAATATCACACCTCACAAAGAGGAAAAGCTTTATGACAGCAGACCCTGCTTTAAGTGAACAGCACATTTATGCTCCCTATGCAAGCCAAAAAAGTACTCCTCAAACTCCTCAGTACACCAAAAAAACCCCACTGAAGAGCCTTCAGTGTGAAGATGTGAAGCATGTTCTGGGTCAGAACATGAAACGGAATGCTTCATCCCGCAAACTATTATTACAGGGCACATGCTACTGCTCTGTAGGATGTCTTCCTGAAGACTCTCGGGCATATCACCAGTCTCTGAGTTGATGTCATTTATTTCCTGGTGATTCTGACACCATTATCCATCAACTCTAAAAGTCTCTGCCTTTCCATTCTGATGAGACTTGTCATATTGGCTTTTATAACTTAACGTCATAAGATCTGAACCTACTGATTTTAGTAGTTCATTCTGTAGTAGTTCATTCATGACGTCATACATCGAGAACACATGTACTGCAAATCCTGACTATGGACAGTAGTCTGCATATAGAGAAAAAGACAGCACCAAGACCTACCTCAGAGCCTGGGACCTGAATTTGTCTAGTAATTCTTCCTGCTTAATTCTCTACCCACTGAATCATATACTGCAGCTTCTAGCAGGGTCTTCTTGTGACACCTCACAGCATAGCCAGATCTTGGCAGCCCTTCACTGACTACCTGCCTCTGCTCCAGCAGCCAGAAACACTCTCACCAAACACTTCCATTCCAGGTAGCACCAGAGGTCTTCCCTGAGTATCTCCTGTCCTATGTCACCGCAGGGGAAAGGCTTATGTGTCCCAAAGAGGTAACTCATCTTATTAATGATACTGCATCTCACCACAAATCCTAATTTTTTTTATCTTTAGACCAGCCTGGCTGTGACAACACCAGCACTGACTCCTTGGACATCTATGCACACCACTAATAAACCAGTATAGGTCTCCGCAGGGTGTTTTGTGACATTTGGAGGGTGCTCAGACCTAAAGGAGGGTTCTGTAAGGGATAAGGCTGAGAGGGAAGGGTAATGGTTGAGAGCCCTTTGCAGTGCCTTCCCTGCCAGCACCCTTCCTGCTCCCCAACAAGTTCATTGCATCCCAGCCCTGGTGGGACTAACCTTCTTGCTCTCCTCACCCACCAGTGAGTGCCACTCGGCACGGGGCACAGGTAGCCCGACAGCCCGCTATTGGTGAGCCCTTTGACTTTGCCGTTATTGCATCATTTCATGATGCAGAAGCTGACCTGCAGCTGGCCCTAGCCCTGGAAGAGGTGGTAACAGCTGTCCTCTGCCCCTTTTCCACTCTTCAGACCACAAAAGGATCTGGCTGGCTGCAATCCTCACTTCTGGTGGCCTTCACCAACAAGACCAACACTTCAGTAAACACCCACTGTGGGACAACCTCCCAACTAATGTGTCCTGCCAGGTATCCTCTGGGACATGGCCAGATTTTCCTACCCTTTGCCCTCTCCACACCCCCGGCCCCTTACCTGAGGTTGGTGTCATGGGGGCAGCCGCCAGGCCGTTCATGTTCAGAGCCGCCATCTGCTGCATCTGGGCTGCGGCAAAGGCTGCCATGGGGTTCAGGTAGCCTCCCTGTGCCACTGACGCCATGATCGCGGCTTGCTGCTGCATCAGCTGGAACAAAGAGAGCAGGAAAAAATATCATGCGGCCATTGGCAGGGCAGCCCGCAGCACCGGCACCAGGATGGGGACCCGGTGAGGGTGTGAGGCATCCCTCTGTTTTGAGATGTCAGCTTGCCTTGCCTGTGGTAGTCCCCAGCCTCTGCTTTCCTCCTCGCTATCGGGGCTGGAAGCAAAATGCATTTTGCATCTTGGGGTCTTTATGGTCCCCACCCCCATCATGTGTTCCCCAATGTGGTGGTCTCCCATGAGTTGGACGCAGCCCTCCAAATCCCTGGCCTGTCCCTGATGAGAAAGGTAGAGAAAAGACTTTATATGTTCCTGAGCAGAGAAGTTTCATCATTTATGTTGCTTGTAGCAAAGCTCTGGAAAAGCACTGGTGGCTACTTATGGGAGACGAGTATATGTGGAGCGGTGGGGAGAGAGGATCCCTTCTCCAGAGCAGCAAGCTTAGCTAATTCTCTGGGGATAACTTGATTTCTTTCCATCTGTCAGCAACAAAAATCTTTTTTTCTTATGCTGCTGGGAGGCATCTGGTGGGCACTGAGCAAAACCGTGACCAAAACTTCTAACCAGATTACAGCACCTATTTCCAACACAACCAGGCAGAGATTCCCAGAAGAGCTGTACAAGAGAAGGGAGATCCCCTACTTTAGCAAGATTAATACTGTGTAGTGGGAAAAACCCTTCCCTGTGGTTTTGATCTGGGGGTGACTTCCTTAATTTTATTTTTTTTCCAAAAGTGTTCAAAATGCTGCTTCTTTTAGGGTACCTACAAAAGGCAGAAATGAGGAACCTGGGCTATATTTTCAGGCATTTAAGGGTAAAAATTTTGGAGCAAGAGGGTGGTGAATGGTTATGCTTGCTGGAATTGCTTCTTATATTAAAACCAGACTTTGCTATCATTATTTCACGCTTTGAACCTAGCACAGTGTTGTTGCAGTTCATGTGTAGAGTATGGCTGCAGTGGGCTTGTAAATGCTCCTGGCATGAAGGAGAAGGCAGCTTGGATGAAACTGCCTTCTGTCCCCTTCTCTGGAGTTGTACAAAGAGCCAGATGAGGTACGTCTGAGTCCATATCCAACCCTAGCTAGTGACTGGTGGTGAATACTTAGAGAAAGTGCGGGGCAAGGAGGATAAACAGAGAGCAAAACCTCACACTGTTCATTCCCCAGCCTCTGGTAATGCATGACTTGATGGTAATAGTGGAGAAGGAAACTGGTTTTCTGTAGTGACTTTAGATGTGACTCATGTCTTTGCTATCTCCAGAATTAGAGTACCTCTATTTTGCTGCTCTCTGTGATTTCACACTGTCTCCAATCAGGAAATCACCCTCTGATGTTGTTTAAGCACACAGGACACCCCTCTCAGCATTAAACAGAATTCAAAAGTCATGGCAAGGAATAGACTGTTCCCTACTGTTCAGTTTAATATTGAAATATCAGCTAAATTAGCTGTTCATATACATACACACGAAAACAAATCCTTGAAATCACTACGCTCCTTCAGATGCTGAAACTTTCCTTGCTGCCATCTGTGAAGAGATAAAAGTAAAGGATGCTCTGCCACTGACCTGCTGTATAACTGTGCACAAGTTGTGTAAACTTGCCTTGGTTTCTCCAGCGATAAAATGGGACACAGGATACCTGCCTCCCCATGTAGGAGTGCCTTCAGATCCACAGATGAAAAGTGCTGTACTAGAGTTGAGTACTATTATTTTTTGTAGCCTAACACAGATTGGTGGCAAGGTGGTGGCTTTCCCTTTGATTGTTAATTACCCTTTTTATTATAACCTGCATAAGGCACTTTCACATTTTAATTAGTGATATCTTGTTCTTTATAATTACTGATGGAGTGATTAGACAATCTTTTCTATTACAGCGCAATGCTGATTCCCCTTTAAGGAGTACATTTATTTCTAGATATCATTTGATTTTATTCTCCAGAGGAGGCACAGAACAGGTGATTTTAATAAGTGTGCCAATGAAGTGAATGAGGAAGATGGAATCCATCCATCTTTAACACTGGATTGACTCCAGCACTGGGTGTGCTGACCCATATCTCATATTTTGGACTGATGATCTTAGAGATCCTTTCCAACCTTAATAATTCCTAGTTTTTACTTTCATTAAAAATAATCCAGCCACCAAGCCAGGAAACACGAAATTGCTACTCTACCCTTAATTGGTTTAGTGGTGGACTTGGTAGTGTTAGGTTAATGGTTGGACTGGATGATCTTAAAGGTCTTTTCCAACCTAAACGATTCCATGATTTTATGATTCTAATCATTCCAATCCCTTACCTGGCTCTCAGCAGATATTTTTTGGACCTTTGTTCCCAACCATTTAAAAGAAAAGTGTTAATCCTTTTTTCATTTGTCTTTCACCTGTGTTGCAAAAGAAACAGGGTTCTATCCAAAAGATACCACATTGCCAGTGGTAGTACAAATTGTGCTGCTCCAAAGACAATGTCCATTTTGCATGCAGCAGAGCTAGGCAATCACTTGTGACATTATTTATGGCTTATGCAACTTCTTCTCCTGCTTATGGATGTGTCTAAGTCATCCAGAGTTAATTCCGCAATGGCAGGTGCTCCTCCTGGTTTGCAAACCAAGTAACCTGAGTGTGCAGCTTCTTGTGTATTCAGAGGGCTTATAAATTTGCACTGGAAGATGAATGTTTATAGAATATACCTTGGCTACATGCATGCTCCTTTTTCAGCATAATATCATTCATGCATTTCTGTCACAGACCTTCAGAAAGAAGGTATTTTCTCTCTCCTTATGAGAAGAACTAGATGATCCTAATCTGCTGATTAGTGCTGAACGTGCAGGGTCTGCAGCCTAAAGCCTGGTGGGTTTCAGTGAAACTTGCTTAAAACAGGGCATACTCCCACACAGACTGAATTAGGAGCTTGAGGAGCAAAGAGATTAAATTCAGCTTAGGGTGAAAAAGGTAATGCAGTAAATAAAGGCCCTAGCCTGTGATTCGGGAAACTATGTTCAGTTACTTCTGCTACAGCAGGCATCCTGCAGAGAGTGGCCACCCCATTTCTGTTATACTCAGTGCTCTGGGGATACCAGAGATGCCCTGGAGACCTGGAATGCCTGCCACCCCAGCATGGTGAAATGAGCTGGAGCACTGTACTTCATGACCCAGAGGACATACACCTCGCTGCAGCCTTCAGAGCCAGCCCATGGGTTAAACCAGGGTCTTCACCAGAGCTGGAAGGATTATAGCATTCCATACCTGAACACAGCCATGTACCCCAGCTAACTGTCTTTGCTTCCTTGGATAGAGGGGGGACCCTGACCATGTTCCAACCATGTCTGAATATCTCAAACCTTGGCATCACTCCTGCCACCCTTCTGCTGTCACGTTTCCTGTTCATTCCCTTCCCTCTCTGGTCAGAGGTGCTCAGGGGTAAAGGTTAAGGGGAAAGAGGAGGGGCGTCCTTCCCAGCCCAATATCTGATGGTCACAGCCTGGCTGAGTGCAGCGGCATTGTGGGGGTGGGAGGACAGTCATCTTGAAAGAAGCTGACAGCATAGCTCACAGTGGCTCCAGGGAAATTTACAAAAGGAGGGCAAGTCCTGTAAGGGTCACCATTCTCCCTTATAAAACCTCTGAAGCTCTCCTGAGTGAGCTCAAATAAAAGTCACCCCACTCCTTCCCCAGCTGCCCCTGAAGACAAATGTCCCATCCACTCTCCTTTCACTTTGAAAGAGGCCCAGTGTATGGTCCCAGTTAATAAAGATGTAGAAAGTGAGGCACTGACCCCACCAGAGGAAAATCAATAGCAGCAGGGCCCCTGGGTGTTGTGTACTTTAAAATATGCCATTTGAAATGCAGATTTTCCCTGCCTGGGCTGGGGCCACAGAGCACTAATCAGAAAGGCAGCAGCCTTATTATCTCAGACTGATTCAAGGAGACGGAGAGGAGCTTTTCCCTTCCTCGGCTGAAAGGACATATTTCCTTTTGCTTCTCTTACTTCCTTGGCATGGCCTTTGCCTCAGCATTTAGAGCTTTTCCTCATCTGATTTTGTAGATTTGCTCCCTCTTTCCTCCAGCCTGGTCTTTATTATTGCTCAAATATTTATCTTCTGAGGAGACCAGGAGATGCTACCAAACTGGTTCATGCCCATGGAAAACAACTGAAGAGCTATGAGTCTGCAGTCCCCATCCCAAGGCTTGAGAACTGGTAAGGTCATCCAAAACATGGGGAGGGGTTGTAGTGATGGCTGGTCAACAGAGAGAGATGGGAGGATTCATCTCACACACACTTTTGCTACCTCAAGTTGAGGTGGCTAAACTTCAGCCAGCTCTGTCATCAGTGGGTGGATAGACACCTCCAGGGGTTTATCCATCCTAGCCTAGCATGGGAGATTAAGACAAAAACCAGCAACGGATGAAGTTTTGCCACACAGCTGAGCTGAAGCAAGAGCTTGCCAATGCACATGTCCCTCTCCATGTCTTGCTGCTACCTTTGCACCAGCATAGGTGCACACCTGATGCTGCCAAGCAGGAACACCACTAGCACAGCGTTAAATACGCAACACAGACACATGGCTCTTACTGCTGGTTTTCCTCCCAGAAGTGGCTCCCTGCGTGGTCAAGGTCAGTCTAGTGGCATGGGGTGAGGACGTGTGGCCAGAGGTGGAGCTGGGAATGGGATGGCTGCCTCTGGCGTCAGGTGACTGTTAGACTACAACTGCATTCAATGAAAGGAAATGTTAGCCTTTTCTTACAGGAGAAACAGATGCACGGAGAGATGAAATGACTTAGCGAAGGCCAAAAATTCCTGCTAGAAATAGGACAAGGGTGCTGCAGCCTGCCTTCCCCAGCATCCAAAAGAAATACACGTGAAATGGAAGAAGGGGAAGAGGAGATAGAAGATTATTTCTGATGCTTTCTTTCTGAAATAGCATGATCATTGCCCTTGGAGAAGTCTTACTTTGAAAGGCCTGATAACCTTCTCATGTTTTCAGTGTTATTT